AACACTCTATGTAATTTGGATTATCAGAGACGAGCCTCTCCGACACCTGCTTCCCGCTTTTATTACCACTCTTGTTACGACCGACACTTTTTATCGCTTTGTGCAAACAGGACTCGTGTACTTTCTATGCTCGACGCGACTAAAGAGGTCAGGTCAGGCCTCAGTCTTGCACCGAAGAATCCGCTACTGTCACGTCGATTCTAAAAATAATTCAAGTTGAGAAGTGCCGTTGAGGAGTGATAAATGATTGCATTACAGCAACGCTCGAGATCCATCTAAGAATTTAGCATCGACATGTAATCGATCAGACTTTAGCTTTTGAAAGCGCAATATTAGATATCGCGTTGTTTTCTACCTTATCTCTCTTACATAATTATTCAGAAGAGATAAAAACAAACTTTATGACATAAAGATATTAATAAGACGATATTGCGTTGTTTTGAGATTGCGAGGCTCCTAAGATATATCTTTCTTTCACGTAGAGATTTTCTATTGGGAAATCGAACAAAATTGAAAATTCAACAGAATTACAAAAGTTATCTTTAGCCAGAGATATTACAAAAACAACGTTTTGATAATTAAATCCCAATTTGTTGAAATACCATTCCATTTAAAATACGTTTATTATTTAATGATAGCAACTGCATAATTAAATCACTAGTAAAATTTCTATGAAGAAAAAGTCAACTCCAAGTAAACGAAAATTATGTTCGAACAACATCCACATTTTAGTCGCTCAATGTCAAGCATACTTGCCGCATCATCATTTCCTCCATTTCATTAAAATATAAATAGATAAAATATAATATTAAATTGTCACACATGTGTATATATTATATCCATGTGTGACAAGAATCGAATAATAAGCGGAATGTGTACGTGTGATCATTATGCAGCGTCACTCGACTTTGGAACACGTTGTACAGTCGAAGGCCTTAGCAGCACTCAGGAAGAAGCGCGTACTATGCGAATACTAAGAATGTTTTCAAAGTAGCTATCGATTGCCAGCATCGAGTTTTATAGTCACTAGTGTTCCGCGACGTTTTCTTAGCCTTCGAAGAACTTGGGCATTAAAATTTTCTACATTTTTCGGAATTCAAATCAATAAATACTTTGTCAACATCGGGTCTAACAGTATGTATTCGTCAAGTTTGACCGATGGTATGTATTTAACGACACAAACAATAAATGTCGATGAATACATGCTATCGATCAAAGATATTGTCGTCAAAATCTTTGTTCGCGATTTTAGTATAATCGAATTTTTTCATGTTCTTAAAATTATTTCAGACTAGTAGTTACCTCAAGAAATAAGTAAAGAAATGTGTGACAACATAAAAATATTAAACAATAAGAAGGCAATAAGATAATTGTTTATCTTTGAAGAATAACACTTTAAAGTATAAAAAGATTTTTTTAAGAAAGAAAATTGCCCGTATTTTGGAATTATAGGAATATTTGTTAACTGAAAAAAATTGCTTGTAGCCTGTTGTTTGCTTTTACAGTCGCACCGGCGTATAATTAACG